GTCTAAAAAGCTACAAAATAGGTCCATAAGGAGCATGAACTAGCAATTGCCTTCCTATCTCAATTCAAGGGGTTCTGAGCTTAGGCTATCCCCAAGGAATTCTTGGTTAGCATCAAGCAAGGATGCACAGAAAATCTCAATATCTACCTCAACTTGTTCAGTAAGTAGTTCAGCTGGAAAAGATCTCTGGTGATGCCGAATAATGGGAACAATCTTAGGTCTTTGAGCAAGGACCAAATTCTGGAGGGCCGTGCGTTAGCAAAGCTAGACACCTGCAAAGGCGTGAAAGAACTCGAAAGTACCCCCACTCGGGAGGATAAGGTAACCCACGAAAAAGAAACACAAAAGCAATGTTCTAAAATGCGTAATGCGTTTGCGATGCGTCGATGCTGAAAATCAAGAATCACAAGTTTAGGCGTGTCAATGCGAAGAATAAGCGTCATAATGCATTTCGTATTTTTAAGGCATTAAATATATTTTTATATAAAAAATTTGATTTTTTACCAAATAAAAAAAAAAATTTAGGTAGCATAATGCGCCGCCTAGACGGGATAGGCGCGTAGGCGGCGCTAGAACAAAAACTCATTTTTTCGCGCATACCCCGAATTCGACACGTTTTCTCCGCGCGTCGAGCCTAGGCTGCGCATTTGCGCACATTTTAGAACATGGCACAAAAGTGTGCATGTTGGAAATTCACAAAGGAAATTAAGTTCAGATGTCTAGCCTTAGCTAGATCCAACCTTGAGTGAATCTGCCCCACACATGAAAAAAAATCTATCAGGGATTTTTAGTTCTGATGTCTAGCCTAAGCTAGCTCCAACCTCAAGCGTTCATGTGCTGCACACTCGGAGAGAAATCCACAAAGGATTTCAGTTCTGAGTATAGCCTTAGCTAGATCCAACCTCAATTATCATAGAGAGAAATCCACAAAGGATTTCAATTCTGATGTCTAATCCTAGCTAGATTCGACCTCAAGTGTGCATACGTTGTACACTTGGAGAGAAATCTATACAAGATTTCAGTTATGAGGTCTAGGCTTTGTTAGATCCGATCTCAAGTGTAAATTCGCTGAACACATGAAGAGAAATTCACAAAGGATTTCAGTTATGAGTTCTAGCCTTATCTAGATTGCACATTTTTGTGCATGTGCTGCACACACAAAGAGAAATCCATAAATGATTTTAATTCGAAGACATAACCTTAGCTAGATCAGATTTCAGTGTGCATGTGCTACAGAGTTGGAGAGTAATCTATAAAGAATTTTAGTTATGAGGTCTAGCCTTGACTAGATTCGATCTCAAATGTATGCGTTGCATGTATGTTTTAACATCAACAATATGCATTACTATATGTTTTTTCTGGCTGTTGAAATAAAATGACTCCAACTTCTGAGAGTGATCTTATTACAAGACAATAAAAGATATGGAACTGATAACATTAAGTAGGAAATTAAAGAGAGAATAAAGATATGAATCTTGTAATTATAATCAAAGTACTTTCTTTCTACCTGAGGAAATTTGACTATCGAAACACCCCATTGGAGTGACACTTTTAGGGGAATTCCGAGATCAATAATCTCACGAGATTGTTACTGTTTCCTTGTTAGGATCCCATTTCACTAAATTGCTATGAGAACTTTCTGTTTCCCATCGACAATGGGCTGCTTCTCCAGATCAGTTATTTCTTTAGTCGAATGCAATTCAACTTCGTCTAAAGACGGGTACGATCTTCCACTTCCACGAACTAGATCTTTAATTTCGGTGATAAGAACTTTGTCCGTCAGCAGGGACTCCACAGTCACATGTACCCGAGTCATAGGGAAGCCTCCATTAACAAAGGAAAAAGTATTAAAAGAAAATTGCATTGATGCAACATATAGTTAATAAACAGTATGAAAAAGGAGTATGCACATACGATATCGCCAATAGTGTTTCGGATTTGTTGGGTCATTGATGGTCTCCTCTGCTGCAGGTCGTGCAGTGTACTCCTCTTTTAGTGCTAGCAAATCCTGTTAGCACACAAAACTGTGACAAGTCGTTTAAAATAAGTGGGACACTAAACAGGCATATGGATGCATGATATGTTACGTCCTTCCTCGATTGAACCTATAGTATGTTTATCTAAGCTCAAAAAGAAGTAAATGTTACTGTTATGTTTCCAAACATGTTTAGACAAAAGTAAAAAAGTTATTTCCTACTTTGACCAAAAAGAAATTTATTTATTTGAGAAATTTTACTTGTGAGCTTTTTAAGCTTAGCCAAACATGTTCTCGGCCAATATTTTTACGACGACTGCAAAAGCACTCTTTGTATATCCAAGTACCTGAAGGGGAAAAATTGCCCACATTGATGGAGATTCAAAGTGCTGCTGCAAAATGAAGTACACAATCTGGGAATGCATTGATCAGGTGGCAATATATCAGTTCCCATCACATTCTTGAAATATCTACGTCTTGTTTCTTCATCTTCTTCCCACCAAGCGCGCAACGTGGAACAGTCGTGACATGAAGGAGCACACACCTAAAACAGGTTAAGCAAGAACGATTATTTGATTATGGGCCTTTTTCTATATTGACTATGGTCCTCATCATTTTATTTCCAAGATTTTTGAGTGGAAGGTACTTCATTAAAAGATATAAAAACACAAAGATGACATGAACAGAAACAAATAAGAATAAACCTATTACCGTCATATAACTATACTGAGAAGGAACCCCGAATTCCTTATCAGGTTCATTTGGCATACGTTGAATGTGTAATCCTATTAAACCAAGCTCTTGCATGACCTGTGTCACCTCATAACGTAACAACCTTATAAATTCACTTGAAGTTATCTCTGGCGTGAATGTAATGGAAAACAGTAGAAAGTCATACAGGATGAACACATGAAGGAATCGTCCTGAGATCTTCTCCACAAGCCAGCATATCCGAGGAGTTCAAGAGAACAGGCAATGTCTTTAGAGCATTTTGACGCCACGGAGTCTCTTGCCGATGGAAGTAGTAATCGTAATATAGTCTCTTCAGAACATTTCTGCTGCATCATTGGACATCAATGATAAATGGCAAATTGTGCAGATATTGGATAACCAAAGCAGATCTTTTCCGAAGAGAAGTAGAGATAAGATGGTAAGAGAAGAAAAAAACCAATAATCTTCACCATAATAGACTTAATGCACGTCGTCACAATTTTATCTCTAACGACATGGACACATTTTGATAATCCAAAAAATATGAATTTCTTAGGTACCTGTGCTCATCTAAATCACCAAAGCTTGAGGTGTCTTCAAGATTGAAACGAGGGTAAAAACTTTTTGAATCTTCTGGATCTCTGATGAGGACTATATTCTGCCACAGGAAAAAACAACTGAAGCATAATGACAAGAGAGTACTCATATGTTTTAAAAAATAAAAAATCAGATGCCCATTGCATACAATCATGTCAGCCAAGATGAAGATGGTCAAAGCAAATGCAAAAAGCATTGATAACTGAAAGGGTCTTTCTAGATTTACACTTGCCTTCACAAAATCAAAGAGGTTGCTCCGAAGTTTTGCTTCACTCTCTAACAACACGGATGTTTCTATGAATGCCTCCAGCTTGGATGCTATTTTCTTTTCAGTATTGCAGTCCTCCTTGAACTACATAGATCTCATAAAGTGAGTGAATAGCTTGGTAGTCAAAGTGCTTCTTCTTTCTCTTTTGACTATGCGGCAGGAAAATTTTGATCATGATCTAAACTTGATTTGCTTCTAAACTAGAATTTTAGTTTTCGCACAGACTTGGCATGTATGAGTGTCTAGATAAAATTTCTACACGAGAGAGTGAAATGACGAAAATCAAAATGCAGGACAAAAAGAGTACGCAAAAACTCATTACCTCTAAAAACTTCTGCCCAATGTATGTTCAACTCAAGCGATTGAAGTCCCATATTCCTTCCCTTTCAAGTTCCTCCTGCAGTAATAATTAGTTTATTATATATGAACTGAGTATGAGTGCATTTTGGGCTAAACATATAGCCTCGATAAGTAAAGAAAAAAAAAAGACAAGTACTCGAAGGAGAAAGACAAGGGCATACCTGGCTTAGAGGAATAGATTGTCGAAAATTTCCACAAAGACCAGTCATTGCATGATCTGGGAGCTACCAGATTCTAAAGAAACCCAATATATGATCAATTCTGTAAGCCTTGAAGTACTTGGCCATCTGTTAATCATACGAGAATGCCAGTTATTATAGAATTGCACAATTGTCCAAGATTTAGGAACTTTTGAAAAAGAATAAGAAAGAGACAACACCAAGTCACTGATCAACCTGCGTTAAACGAGCACGCCACCAAGCATAATTGTCTTTGGACATTTCTTCCCAATTATAAGTGGGGAATCCCCAATTTTGTCCATTTTTACCAAAATAGTCTGGAGGTGCCCCAGTAGAGGCATCCATGCAAAACAGATTTGGGTGGATCCAAGTATCCACACTATTTTGGTCAACTCCAATGGGCAAATCCCCCTTCAGTACTACTCCTTTCTTTCGAGCATATTCAGAAGCTTCAGATAACTGTCATTATCAACATGATTACCAAGTGTTTATATGTCACGAGTCGTGACAAAAGAATAAACACAACAGGTAAGAATTTTTACTTGCATATGCAAATGGTACTGGATATAGTAATGAAAGCAAAATTTTATCATAGTGCAAGCTATCTTTTGAGACAAGCTGCTCAAGCTGAAAGTGTGGAAAGAGAACTGTTGGCATCTAACACGTTGGTGTTAAAAAAAATGCGGACTTTCAAATTAAAGTTCCTGATCCCATTAGAATTTTACCTGTGAAATATGAGTACCTATGGGCTGGGAAATAAAAGAATAAGAGAGAAAAGACCTAGAAATTAAAAAAATGCAGATACCTTATCTTGAGAGAAAATAGAAAATCGACCCCACTGGCTGCGATCTGACGTTTCAAAGAAGTCCCGTAAAAAACAGAAGGCTGCATAGGGCCTCAACCAATCCTGCCAATAAAAAGAGAGACTGCGGAATAAGTACGCTTAAGAAATTAAGAACTATGTGGAATAAAACTTATTGACTAGTATGATCCTCTCTTTCTCACAGACACAGAGTGGTGGTTGTATTTAAAACCCCAACTAAACAGAATTATAAATCCTGAAATCGCCATATCAATATTTTTGCTAAAATATTATAACCTGATTCTCTGAAAAAAAGTTCTGGAAGGAAGTTAAACTTAGTGTTGCTTCCTTCTCCTGAGAATAAATTTTCTTGGCAATGGAAAGTTTTGCGGCCATGTTGGCCTCATAATCCACATCCTGCAAGGATAAAGGGAAAAAAAAAAGTAATGGAGGTTAGGATCAAAATAAGTTTTCTTACGAGTTTTCCATTCCTTTAGATAATTTCAAAGAATTTCAAATACGTGGCCATTGCCAAAAAAAAAACACACAGAGAGAGAGAGAGACACGAAGACGACTTAGGAACTCATGCCAAAGCTCACATCTCATCTCTAAAACTAAGGTCCCAAAAATAAAATTTGGTAATGAGGGCGATTTATAAGGTGAGGTATCACTGACTGACCATTGGAAGACAAGCAGGCAAACGACCTAAATTAGACATCATGAAAGTAGACCACTGGTTCAAACACTAGTATGGTAGTGGTTGGTCTGTGATACCACGTCACACAACGACATTGCATCAACAATATAATCAAAACATTCTAC